CCTGTGAAGTTCAGAAATGATAAAAAGGTAAAGCCACAGATTTGTTTGCTGTAATGTAATCTGTGCTTTAAATAAATTTTACTTTATTATAAAACAGATTGATTTGTTGCTTCATTTTTTTGAAAAATACTTAAGACATTAAAAAAACTATAATCGCATATTAAATCGCAATCGCAATTTATAAATGAAAAATCGCAATTAGATTATTTTCTAAAATCGTTCAGCCCTAATTTGGCCCGGTGCGCGTTCTATAGTAAAATATCGACAACGCTCCGAACACATAAATGTTATAGACAAAAGGTCGGGGCTTGGTTCTGGACGGGTAGAAGTAAGGTTGTAACATTAACAACTCAGGTAGCTCCTCAGCGCGCAAGTTGCACATGTCTTTAAAATAACTACGATGCTCTGAATACAACAACGTATAACACAAAGTCAGATCTTAGATAAAAAAAGATYGGGCAGGTTGGGCTCGGTTCTGGGAGACGGGCTGAAGTAATAGTGTAACAGCTCAGGTGTCTCCTCGGCTGCAGCGAACTGGTCACACGYGAAMAYATACGTTTAATACTTAGAYATTTAATAATTTATTACATAACTTTCATGCGGGCAGGCAGGTGGTTCTGGTAGCGTGTCTGAAAAAGAAAAATAATCCATGGAAAAGTCCAATCAACTCTGTTTACTTCACCTGCAGTTCTGATTCTGCTCAGACAGCAGGACCCGCCCTGCTCTGCTCTGATTGGCTAAAACTGTGACTCTGGTTCCTTTTATTGGTTGAAAGCAGCATCAGTTAATCCATCACAACACAAGTCTGTTTTTTTCTTTTCTCAACAGGATATGCACTGCAGAGACGGCCAGGGGAAACGAAGAACTTTAAATCGCTTCTGCCCGACAAAATTTAAGACCTTTGAGTAACAAATTTAAGACCAACTTGCATTTTTTTTAATCAAATTTAAGACTTTTTAAGGTCTTAATTTTAGATATGTAAATTTAAGACTTTTTAAGACTTGTTAAGGACCCGTGGACACCCTGAAATATTTTAGTCCATATCGCCCATCCCTAACCTGAAGGCAAGAAGCTGCCTTCTGAGTCCAGCCCTCAACAAAAAACAAAAAACAAAACAAAAAAAACATGCATTAAGACTGAAATTCTTCTCTATCTTCTCATTCTGATGTGATTTATAAAAGGCTTGACGCAGGAGGAGGGGTTAAAGTCGACCACTCATTCTCACTGTAAAGGTTCATCTGAAAACTAAAAGCTTTTCACCATCCTCCAAATAAAAACATGAGATMATTTCAGATTTACTGGTCTCACCTGTTGGAAATGACGATAGCGTCGTTGAACTCGCTGCGGCAGTTCTGACGCAGGGCGGTGCGCCCCCCGTTGGTGATGACGGCGTTGGTGCCATGCAGCTGGTGGAAATACAGGTCGCTGGTTGTGGTGGCCCCAGCCGCTGAGCAGGGGCTCCCAGGAGACATGGCCGTAGGGCCTTCTGAGCTGTCCTCCGGAAGAGGCGGGAGGTCCACTAAAGCAGAGAGAGGAGGAGTTCAGATCCAAAGTGGAGACCTCACATRAAACAGAAGCTGCTCTGGTTCTCACCCATGTCGTCCATGATGGTGGCCTGGGCCGCCTGGCCGTACAGGTCCACCACAGCGTAGACGCTGGGGGGCACGTTCCAGGCTGCCGGGCCCTGGGCCACGCCGTTCACAAAGAAGTGCAAGCTACCGTCTTCTTTCCTCACGACTCCCACAGTGTCCCCGGCCTTCAGGAGCAGGAGAATGCTGCATTAAAACAAACCGCACCAGCGCAGAACGCCGACGATAAAGAGCACTTACTTTAAGTCGGTCGAGGTTGTGTCCATACTCATCCAGGATAGTTGTTCCGTTGTGCATCACACCGTTCCCCGTCATCATCCACGTCCCTAAAACACCCCACCATACCGTCAGGCACCTCACGGAGAAAACTAAACACATCTCCAGGCTTCTTGGCTCTGTTTTACCTGAGCGCAGGTTTGTCATTGTGGACGGCAGCTGCAGGTAGGCGGGGTTGTGCGTCGTGACTCCAATTTCAATAGAGCCCGCCCACTTGTCCACCATCTTGTCAATGCGGACCTGGAACACCTCGTTGGAGCGCAGCGGCCGGTTGCTCAGGACCACGCCGTGGTTAAAATCATCAGTCGCACTATAAGAAGTTACGGAATCTCGAATTACTTTTTAAAAATAAACTCAACATTTACATAAAATCCTAACTTTTTTTCTTTTTGCATAGAAATAAAAATACTCATTACTCAAACTGACGTGACTAAAATGATACAAATAATGTACTTATAGAATACTTTTAGAATACTTAATACTATTTGGACTCACTGTGGTCGCAGCGCGGTCCTGCCGTCGCAGATGATGGCGGCCTTCTGGCCACAGTTGGGGTGAAACAGCAGGCGATCGGGCGCCTCTGTGTCAGGRGTGAGGGAAAGGGCCGGCCGGGGTCGCCCAACGTCGGGCGAAAGAGCCCTCATGATGGCGTTGTTGCGCCTGAGGCGGTCGCTGTGGTTGTGGTTGTGGACTATGGTGACTTTAACGGCCATGCCGTACAGGTCCACCACACCGTAGACCACGCTGGGGGTCTGGGCTGCTGCAACACCTGGGAAAAAKGGCAGAAAGAGGTTCAAGGAGAAAGTCTTGTACTCTGGATGTTTGGTTGCTTTTCCATCAGTCATCCACAGCCACACTATCGATGTCATCTTTTTGTGCCTCACCTTGATCAATGCCATTTATGTAAAAATGGAGCGCACCGCTGGCTTTGTGCATCAACCCTATGTGATCCCCCTCCTTTAGACATGTAAATAATAAAAACAACAGATTRACACAAAGACAACATAAGAATCACCTCTTTTTTGTGATCAGTGTCACAAACCTGTAGTTCATCGAGGCTGAATTCACAGTATTCTCTGCGGGTGCCTTTCCCGTTGGTTAATATCCCRCAGCCACTCATCATGATTGTTCCTGATGAAGTAGAAATAAAAGGTCATTAAATAAAAAGGGCCAGCATTCCTAAAAGGAATCAACATCACGTTTAAAAGAGATTCATGATTWGTTGTAACATTAGACTTTATTTAATAAACATTTATTTTAACTGTAAAATAAAGACTGTAAAGATACTGTAGGCTGTATAGTTTATATCATTTTTAAACTAAAAGTTTAAAAATATATTACACGGATGGGGCCATTTTATTTACACGCAACGCATTCTGGGTAAATGATGACGTGGATAGGTCCTCGGTGTCAGACTGCTAGCTATATCCACCCTGAAGGTTAATCTTGGACAATATCTAATGATCGACTCTTTTAAATGAAACCAGAGAGCGTTGACAGAGAGGAGAAGGTAGAAATGACTCAGCCTGTAACTGAAAATATGGATGAAGTACCTCAGTTTAGCTTGTKTGTCGCGCTAGCGTCGAGCTAATACATGTGAGGCAATATAGCGTCAGCGCTAGCGCAAAGGCTAACAGGCTAAGCTGAGGTTCTTCTTCCATGAAGCAGCTCTGTTGTCCTCCATCCATATTTTCAGTTACAGGCTGAGTCATTTCTACCTTCTCCTCTCTGTCAACGCTCTCTGGTTTCATTTGAAAGAGTCAATCATCAGGTATTGTCCAAGATTAACCTTCAGAATGCTTTGTGTGTAAATAAAATGGCTCCGTCCGTGTTGAAATATATTTTTAAAAATTTACTAAACTAAACAGCCAACAGTATTTTTAAAGCCTTTATTTTACAGTTAAAATGTATGTTTATCAAATAAAGTCTAATATTACAACTAATCGTGGATCCTTTCAGCAGGTTTGTTGTTACCTGAGCGCAGATTGGTCATAGTTGCAGGATAGTCCAGGTTGTTGGGGTTGTGTGTGGTTACACCAATCTCAATAGAGCCTGACCACTTGTCCACCAGCTTATCGATGCGGATCTGAGAGCAAAAACATAACTTAGCTCTCCTTTTGTTTTTAGGCAGCCTATTGACGAGGGTTGGGCAGTATTAATATCGCAGTATATGATATTACTGCTGGCTCGTCTGTGTAATGTTGAACAGTTAATGAAGGAACGGCTGCTTGCCAGAGGCATGGTACCACACTCAGCCGCTCTGATGGGTTGCTGTCACTCACAGGAGTCAGAGTGTGTTTTGTCTCTTAACAGACCAAAATACGTCCAAGTAGCCTACGTCTTTTTAAGGTTTTAAGTTTCAAAATAATATGACTCTTACCACGGTCGTATCTATGCTGCTGCATGCTTTTAGTCAGTCTTTGAACCAAGTAAGTTTGTATTTATTTCCTCTTTTGTAGCGAAGAGCTCACRGGTCTCAAAAGAAAAAATAAATAAATAAATAAACACCAAAGGTTTAAACCTGAAAGGAGTTCAGCTCTGAAGGTTTGACTTAAGAAACCTGGGGCTGGGTGGTCCTCGAAGGAGTCTGTTAGTACTAGCCAGCCCACCTTTTCAAGAATCGGCGATTAATTGGGGCGGCTGTGGTAGAGTGGTTAGGGGAGTCGTCCTGGAACCGGAAGGTTGCCGGTTCGATCCCCATCCAGTCGACTCAGTTGTTGTGTCCTTGGGCAAGACACCTTACTCGCCTTGCCTACTGATGGTGGCGCCTGTGTATGGCAGCCTCGCCTCTGTCAGTGCGCCCCAGGGCAACTGTGGCTACAATTGTAGTTTGTCATCATCAGTGTGTGAATGTGTGTGTGAATGGGTGAATGTCTGTAGTGTGAAGCGCTTTGAGTGTCCTGGATGGATAGAAAGGTGCTATATAAGTACAGCCCATTTACCATTTACCAATGTTTCTATCAGTACATGGCATGGAGGTTAAAAGGAGTGACAGATGGGGGTGTCTCTGTCTCTGTTTGTCTTCTGAATGGACAGAGGAGGCCAGAACACGGGTCAGTATATTGCAATACCATTATTAGGGCTGGGTATCCCCTATTATAAGGGTTGGGCAATATTGACTAAAAAATGAATCACGAATAATTGTGGTAGTTAGCCTACAATGATTAACATGACGATTAATCCCCTTGAGTCCTTGAATGCCCGCATGTCCTTGTCACATGACCAGTTTAAATCACTCTAGCGGGAAAGACTTGCTTTCCTTAAAAATCTGTTCCAAATTGTGTCAAAAGTACAGACTCCAGGCTAAACATCATTAAATTGTGTTGACAGACCAAGCAAAACCAGAGTTATGATAAAGAAATTATAGAACATTTTTTTAATGTTCGTCATATTTGAAGYGAAGAGGAGCACCGAGGGGACTGACAGCTGGCATTAACCATATTAATCGTCAAGTGCCAAAAAATAATCAATTAAAGTTTTTCTGACGATTAATTGCACACGATACGATTTTGCCCAACCCTAACTATTACAAAGTGATTCAATACGATTCTCGATACAGTGCAGTTCCATTTCGGTACTATTACTTTATGCTAATTGCTCAATGTCACTGTATCAACAAAACCAGCAAAATACTATAAAATTATATTATATATGTATAATTAGAAAAAAATGTGTCCAAACATCTGGTTTGCTACCAGAATGCTGCTGTCCATTGATCTTATTTGCAGCTAGCTGTTCTCTGTTCTGAGCAGGAATCCTGCATCGTTRCACTGCCCCCTAAAGGTTGGGGGGTGGAAATATCAATACACTGTTGCACAGCCCAAGCCTAGCAAAGTTTAGTCAACTATCAATAATAACATTAGAGTTAGAAGTCAGGTTTAATGTATGAGGATCAATCACAGCAGTGAGTTGAGTCATTATAAACACCTCAAACATCTCGTTGTGGCGCAGCGGCCGGTTGGTCATCACCACGCCGTTGTTGAACTCGTCCAGAGGTCTCCTCCGCTCTGCCGTCTTGTTGTTGTTGCTCAGCTTGATCAGCGTGCCACACTTCTCGTGGAACAGCAGCGCATCATTTGTGGTCATCCCACCCGTCACCGCTGTTGACCCCACCCCTCCTCCGTTGCCAGCAGGGCTGTGGTCTGAATTTCCACCCCCTACCGCCGTTGTTCCACCGTCGGCGTTCGCCGCGGCGACTCCACCTCTGCTTCCTCTGTCGTTTCTGGAGGAAGAGTCGCTTTCAACGTTCCCTCCTCCTCCTCCTCCTACGTCTCCGCCTCCTCCACYGTCCTCCCCTCCACCCTCATCCTCAGAGCGATAAAAAGATACTATTGCATTGTTGAATACATCAAAGAGCTGGTGCTCTGTCAGAACTGAAGGGAGACAGAAGGAGAACGGTTATCAGCGTTGGTCACGATCCAAACGTCTCACGTCTGATCGGAGGAGGAGCTTCTCACCAGCGTCGGCCTCCAGGTTGTTGGGAAACTTTTCTGGTCTGCTATTACTGCAGCTGAGCTCAGGCACTGAATCAAAGCATCACGCAAACAGATCAAAACGACCCGTAAAGTTAGATTTTAACATTTTAGAATCAAATTGCCTTTTTTAAAGGGATCCCCGATTAGTTGTAACATAGAATTTATTTAACAAACATATTTCAACTGTAAAATAAAGACTGTAAAAATACTGTAGGATGTTCAGTTTTTATAATTTTTAAACTAAAAGTTTAAAAATATAYTACACGGATGGGGCCATTTTTTAACCCACAAAGCATTCTGGGTAAATGATGACATGGATAGGTTCTTGGTGCGAGGCTGCTAGCGAGCTATATCCACCCTGAAGGTTAATCTTGGACAATATCTGACGAACGACTCTTTTAAATGAAACCAGAGAGCGTTGACAGAGAGGAGAAGGTAGAAATGACTCAGACTGCAACTGAAAATATGGATGGAGGACAACAGAGCTGCTTCATGGAAGAAGAACCCCAGCTTAGCCTGTTAGCTTTAGCATTAGCCCCGAAGTTATCACCATATACTATATGTATTAGCTCAGAGCTACACATTCTCTCGTCAATGAGGTCCTCCATCCACATGACAGAGAGGGGAACACAAAAATGACTCAGCCTGTGGTTGAAAATATGGATGGAGGACAACAGAGCTGCTTCATGGAAGAAGAATCCCAGCTTAGCCTGTTAGCTTTAGCATTAGCCCCGAAGTTATCACCATATACTATATGTATTAGCTCAGAGCTACACATTCTCTCGTCAATGAGGTCCTCCATCCACATGACAGAGAGGGGAACACAAAAATGACTCAGCCTGTGGTTGAAAATATGGATGGAGGACCTCAGTGAAGCCTGTTTGTTGCGCTAGCGCCGAGCTAATACATATACTGCAATATAGCACTGGCGCT